GTTAGCGAACACCAAAGGTATGAGCCTTCTGGGGGGGGGGTCCAGAAAATTTTGAAATATGAGACTTCTCAGAGCCCCGGAAATGCAATAAAACCTGCTAGTTTCTCTTAAAAATGTTTCTTGAACGATTCTTAAGCAAGCCATTATATAGGGGTGAAATTTATTCGCTTACTACCTTTTCCCCTGAATAGATTTTTTCTTCGAAATTTAATGCCGTATTTAAGAGTAATTTAAATTGCATTTTCCATACTTATCGTCCCTACCTTTCTTAGAAATGCTTTTCTGGAAAGTGCGAGCCCATCAATACATAACAAGAAAATAATAAATGGAAACAAACACCTGTCCAGTGTACTAATGAAGACTGAACTAATCTACATAATTATGTGTGTTCTTAATAAATTCTCGATATTCTAAAGTAGAAGGAGGGCTCAGCCCCCCACCAGAGCTTGAAGAAGGGGGCTCCGCCCCCAAGCGACCCCCCAATTCTACAGCACTGGGCATGCCCCCCCCCCCCCGAAAAAAAACCACAATATGTTTGAAATCAGATCTTCATCTTCTAAAAACGTGATAGCAGTCAAAAGAACACGTGCAAAAAACTGCACTCAAAATTGAAGAGCAAACAGCATGGTTGTCCTCACTGAGATAATCGCCGAAGTTATTGTTAAAATCGGCTTAAAATACTTTAAAAAACTCATTAATAATTCAGGAGCAAAACACAAAGAAAAATCATAAGCGTGTCGTGGTTTTATATGTGATATAAAATCATGTTAATTTACATAAACTTTAGCTTTGATTTTCTCGGTTTAGACAAAGTTTTTTTAAAAAATTACTTCGCCAATGAACTCGTATAAGATGAGTCGTTTTTTAAGCCATTTAAAGCACTTGTAGTCGTGTTTTATCACATATAAAACACTCCGCTACGCGTCGTGTTTTATATGTGATAAAACACTCCTACGTGTGCTTTAAATAGTACATAAATATTTCGCAAATACATCAGATAGGGATTTGTAACTTGTTTGCTTGTGGATGTATGTGCAGAGATATACAGTGACTATTGAATGTCATGTTATAGCAAAATTTAAGTTTCTACGGTTGTATTCATTACTAAAGGGTTGTATTAACTAATTTTTTTGTCGGTCCACATCTAAACATACACGTTCAAATGATGACCGGGTGGGCGGGCCTCTGGTTAAGCCTATCAGTGTGCCAAGTAGTTCGGATGCTAATTCCACAAGCCGTTTTCTCGGACATGTTTTCTAAACACAAGCAACTCTGAGTTGGTTTGAGCTACATGTATGTTATCCACAAGCTCTTCTCAGGGGTATGTATACAGAATGCATGTCTATGTTAGCAATTTAAACATTTTTGGCTTTTTTTGAAATTACATTTTTCTTGATTGGATTTACATTTATAGTTCCTACGCATGTCCAGACGTTTTCCCGCGGTGATCGCCATATTGTTAATGAAGCGCAAAGAATATAGATAGTGCATCTGCGGTCTCTTAGTTATCCACTGGCAAATTTAACGCCACTAATGACCAATTTCGATCAAGACAATAAGTTTCCTGCGTTTCCAATATGTTCTAAATCTAATCTTTCAGATGAGTGCGTTGTTTTTCAATTGTTGCTAATGGATGTAAAAAAAAAGGGAAGTTACACAAGAGGATAAATTGAGAGAGGCGAAGCCATTGTTTCACTTTGGTAGACTGCCTTGCCAGGTACACTTCGTGCGACCATTCTCAGCTGTAAACTGTGTGTAAAGCTGTCAAAGTACGACATGGAGTTGTACAGGTTGGTCAATTTGATATTACTATGCACTGTAAACGGTTTCTTCACATTCGCGGGGATATTTCTCAATTCAGTGGTGATCATCTGTCTGTGGAAGTCTGCGAAACTTCGCAAAGGAACTTGCAACTTTATAATTCTTGTTCTTTCTTCGTTTGATCTGCTTACAATCGTAGTTGGACATCCTGCAGTCATTTTAACCGCTGTGCCTTGGTCAAGTAGAGACAACAGTTCAGCACACTGGTCCACCAGATCACAAAGCGATGGATACAGCCTCGCCGACGTGGCAATACTCATCTCCAATTACACTCAAACTTTCAGTTTATCCACACTCCTGGCGATGACCCTCGATCGTTACCTCGCAATAACGCGACCATTCTTTCACAAAATCCATGTGACGAAACGACGGCTGTTGGCACTTTCAGTTATGATGCAGTTGCTGTACATTGTTGCACTGACATTTCGATTCTTCAAAGGTTTCAGGGCGATCTACTACGGCGGGGCTTCTCTAACCTTGGGAACTGAAACGATTCTCTTGGTTGTCATGAATTACAGAACTTTCCGAATCGCTGTCAAAGCAAAACGCAACGAACAAGCATCCAAGGCGCAGTTGGCAATTTTGAAAAAGGGCTGCACCTGCTTGTTGGCCGTTGTCTGTTTCTTCGTCTGTTCAACTCTACTTACCGTGTACGTGGTATTAAGAGCCACCTCAACTGACCAGCTCAGTGAAGATTCCTTGATGTTGCTTCGCTTGTGGGGTAGCACAAGCTTGGGCATGAACTCCACATGGAATTGCGTAATATTCTTTTGGCGAAATGAAGCACTCCGCAATGCAGGAAAGAAGCTACTATCTCGATGTCTGAAGCCCAGACGTTCAACATTATTTAATACATCGACACAAATATAACTAATAAACTAACTTAGTTTATCGTAGTTCCTCTATTCATCTCTCACCCTCTCTGATAATGCTATGTAAATATAATGTTCCCTGACAATGTTTGTGAATGTGACGAACGAAGACATTAAGTCGTTTAGCGAGGAGCAATAAAATGTAAATACCAAAAGAAAAACGTTTTATGATATATGAAGGTATTCCTTGAGTTTCCCGAGAAGAGAAGAGAAACTCTTCCTATAGAGTAGAAAAATTGAGGAAAGTAATCGCTTTAAAGTTTTTACTATACTCTATAGTATAAATACAGTAATTATCGTCTTTGTTTATGACAATATAATAAAAAGAACATTACACGGGGCTTGAAGATATTAATTTTATCTTCTCGTGGTGAAAACAATATTTTACTTGTTCGCTGCGCTCCTTCGTAATTAAAATATTGTTTTACCACTCGAAGATAAAACTCCTATCTTTGCGCTGCTGTGTAATATCCTATGTATGTATATAACGTTCCCTGATAATGCAATGTATATAACGTTCAATGATATGGCTAAACAATGCTACATACTATGAAATTGTCTCCTAATTCTTCTATGATTCTGTAACTTGATACTTTCTAAGAGGAAATCTTTTTCAACGTCGCGTATTTGCAATGAAAAGTGTTCAAAATCGTTTTGGCGTTCCTCCCAAAATTACTTCGTTTCAGCTTTATTTTGTAGTTTACACCGTTAGCAACATTTTGAAATGTATTTGGCGGTAATATTGTCAATTTAAATTCAATTATCGTTGATGCTGTAAAATTGACGCCATGCATATTTATACAGCAAAATAAGCAAAACTTACTGAACTTCAGACATCATTTTCTCTTTGGCGTACCATCTAAAATCTCTTTATTTTAGTATTATTTTACAGATAAAACACTAAACCTACTTTTTAAGTTTGTTTGCTGTTTGAAAAACGTATAAAAAAATGAATATAGTTATAACCATGTGGGAAGTATTAATATTCATTTGTTGAGCGCGTGTTACGGAACATACAAAAGTTATTCCTCTTAAAAGATCATGAAAATGTCTTTGACCCAAGCCTCTGTTTAGCCCTAATAAGCCCCCAGTCCAGAACTACTAGAAAGAAAGCAATTTTATGCTTGTAAAAGCAAAAGGTGAAGTGCTTATTTGTTTATGTAAAATGTGTAATACATCTATATAATGAGCGAATCGCCCACATAACCTTATGTTGCATTTTCTTTCTTGTGGGGGAACAGCTGTTTGAGAATACTTCTTTTAGGAGTTCACATATATTATCATTTATTGAGCTTTCATTCAATAATATTTGTAAAATATATATAAAAAATGTTCAATATGTAAAATGCCAACGGGACAAACTTACAATTGGTTTCATTTATTCATTTCATTTATTCCTTCGTGATCTGTTTAAATCTAATCTTTAAGTAAATTTAAATGAGTTATGCCGCAAGAGCGAAGATAAAATCATTAACAGAATACTATTTTCGGCAAAGATTAAAAACAAAAAAATCCTTTATAGAAGCACTTTTGTTTCAAAACATCATCATAAAAATTTCAAATTTTCGAAGCAATGTTTTTCATCAATGTTCGAAGTGTTATTTAAGAAACGAGCAGCAGTGGTTTCTCAGGTTTAGACAAAACTGTGTGGACTGCCAAACTGTCAAAACCTTGCCACACTGAAAAGTCAATGAATTCAGTAGTTATCTAGTATAATAAAACAGTTAGGCCAAAAAAATGTGGGTTTCCGGTTTCCCGACCCTACCTAGCTTTTGGACGTCGAAATCCCGACCCTAAGCTTTTTTACTGTGGATCATGCTTGTAAGTGTTTCCACTTAGAGGAAAAAGTTTGTGGAAAATTGAAATTTGAGGCAATATTAGGGAAATCTATATTTGGATGTGGAAGCACTGACTAAACAAAATGGCGTCCGGTTGTTAGGAAAATTAAAAAAAAAGTTAAAAAAAAAATTAAAACCGACCTACCCTACCTAAGTTTTTATAAGAAGAAACAGGAAACCCACATATTTTTTTTGGCCTTACTTTACTCACTCTCGTCGTATAATTGACCGATAACGAACTCGGTGCCACACAGTTTGTCGACTATCAGGTCATAAACGACTCGAGTTCGGAGAATAACAGTTAAATATCGTACCTGAAAGAGTTCATAATCAGCCATGTGTGCAGCCAGCCTTGTCAAACTCTGACGACCTGAGCCACCCACCCCAACCAACAGCGCATGACCACGTGGTTGCTTCAAGACGCGAGAAATACGTGACACATGTTCAATAGCAAATCTGAAATAGAAAGTTTTATGATCTCTTAAAATCATCTCAATGCGAACTCGTTTTCAGGTTTAAAATATGACTTTAAGGTTTGCCAGTTGCAAATTGAACTCATATTTTCTATTGTTGTTGTTGTTGTTGTTGTTGTTGTTGTTGTTGTTGTTGTTGTTGTTGTTGTTGTTGTTGTTGTTGTTGTTGTTGTTGTTGTTGTTGTTGTCGTTGTCGTTGTCGTTGTCGTTGTCGTTGTTGTTGTTGTTGTTGTTGTTGTTGTTGTTGTTGTTGTTGTTGTTGTTGTTGTTGTTGTTGTTGTTGTTGTTGTTGTTGTTGTTGTTGCCACTGTCACTATTGTTTTCAAACAACGTATAGCTGAAACTACAGGTTTACCTGAATAGAACCAAGTTCATGGGTTTCTTGCTCATGTTATTAAATTCATCCAGATATCCTTCGACAACTTTTCTTAAATTGTTCAGATCAGTCACTTCAACATACGGCTTGCTGTCATTCTTTGGATCCGGGAAGTCACAACAGATCAAGCTTCGTAAATTATCTTCAGTAATCGTGCCAGTAGCTTTCACGTCTAAGTGTTGGAATAGAATGTTGAACTCTACCCCCAAACTTTTCTTTGTCTCATCCTTCGTGAAGTCGAACAACCACGAGCAATCGGTGTCGTCCACCAGACGGTCATAATACACGCGGAATACCTGGAGTAGGAATTCATGCAACAAAAAACATTGTAAGCTTTCAATTATTTTGCAGTATAGCGAAATATTAGTATAGTGCCGACAAGTTTCTTGCATTGTCAGACCCTAGAGTCGACCACCATAATTTGTGTATTGTTTTCTTGAAATAATTCAATACTATTCGGAGTATGGTTTTTCTTATATTTCTTATGCTGGTACAGGATTTCAGTCCAAAAGGTTGACAGATATTTTTAATGCCGGTTTGCTTGAATATGCGGTCTGTTCTGCACATAAACTCGAACGGTTTGTGCGAGCGTAGGTAGTGGCAAAAGGGATTCAACTACAAGCAGTATTTTTCAGGTTGTTAAATCCAATCAATCTGCAGCGTTCTGTACATGGGTACATTGGAGTCTCTTAACCATGTTCCATGTTGTTGTAGAGCCTGATTGTGCTACCTACCTCGTGCACCCATAGTCGTTTCAATGTATTGTGATCTGGTGTGGTCGTTGGTCTGGACAGCAAAACACCCTTTAAAAAAACAAAAATATGTTTAAATTTCTTCGTATTTTTCCTGTAGGCTGGAAAACCAAGAAGAATATGCCTGTAGAGTAAATTAACTCTAAGTAAATTGGACAATTATAACAAATAGTGGCTGTGCATGCCTGTAACATGCCCAGATATTGAGGCTGAAGGTCGAAACCTCAGGCCTGTTTCAAACGTCGCGCTTCTCATGTGTCGAAACGCATTAAAAACAATAGATAATCAGCTGAAATGCCTCGTTATCTTTGTTTCTAACGCGTTCGGCACATGAGAAGCGCGACCTCAATGTTTCGAGAGGATCGCACTTGGTTGACAAAACATTTTGAAAGAGAATGTTGCTGGTTTTCCTCCGCTACGAGTTTTTCTAGTTTGCGTAGGTCTCTGGTAAGCGGTACGTACCTGAACAACACGAGCAAAATCTCTCAGATTGAAGAGGTAGTGTGATTTGGCAGGTGTTGGCAGCAGGTTGGCCATGGCGTTCTTGTAAACTGACAAAGTTGCGTTCACGATAGCCTCACCGACAGGCAAGAAATCTCGAGTGAAACCACTAAAGAAAATTTCAAGACGTTACAAATCGAACCACGCTTCGATTAAGTTTGTCTTATTTGAAAGAACATTTAAAATGATATATAAACTTCATTTACAATTATTCCGTATCTTGCTTGGTTTTCGAAATAAATCGACTTATTTTGGTCAAAAGCAGCGTGCATTCCGCCATCTTGGATATGCGTTCCGATATGCATACGTCACAAGTAGGGTAAAAAGCGAAATTTTTATCTTGCAAACCACATGTCATATTATCAATATGAAATTCGATTTTCCGAAGTCTTTTTAGTACTCAATTAACTCACAACATTTTAAGAAACTTTGCGAAGAAACTTAGTCCCACATGAAGAAGTTTTACCAAGTTTACCCTGCTTGTGACGTCATCAAAAACTCAGTTAATTAGGTCAATTATAATACCAAGATGGTGGACTGCAAACTGTTTTTGGTCAAAATATTTCGAAAACCAAGCAAGGTACGAAAAAATTGTAAAGGGTGTTCATATAGAACTTTAAAAGTTCTTTCAAATAAGACAAAGTCAATTTTTATTCCCATATCCCTTTAAGGTAAGGTTGGAACACTTTTGTTTTGTTAATCAAAAGCTTGAAATGTCCCCCTTAACAATGTGTGACTGGCAACTCTCGTCCCAGGGTTTTAGCTTTCCATACTTACTTTGTTGTCAGATGCCAGTCCATTACTCTGCCAAATATCTTCAACATAGTGATGTCGTCGAACATAGTAATGGTGATCGTGTTGAAATGACGTAAGAAGCGGGGGGTTACCGGGTTCCGGCCACCCCCAGGAGGTCCCATAGCGGCGATGATTTGAATGTCCACCAAATGTATGGGCGTTGTGTCTTTGAGATCGTACCTAAAAGCAAGAAACGGGTGTAATACAGATATTTTAGTAGAAACCAGAAAAATTTTAACAATATAAAGTCAGTTTTCACTAGAGATAGCGAACGTCAGCAATGTTGGTTGAAGTGGTAGGATAATGCTTTTCCAACTAAAGAATGCACTTGAGAAAAAAATTTGAGCACGCCTCTCCCCCACTTGTTGCACTACCCTTGGCCGAGGCTAGAAGGGGTGCACCCCCCTGAAAATATATATTTCCATACCAGTTCCAGTGATCAAGCCATTGTCGTATCAATTCAATAGGAGGTTGAGCTCCGTACACCTCGCGAGCTGGCATGTTTAAATCATCGATAAAAATGACCTGTAGAAAGACATGAAAAAATGCAGTTTTACAGTAATAAGAATTTGTAGGGAGTAACGTTCCGATAATATTCTTACCGTTTTCTTTCCCAATGGTGGACCAAATACTCCTTTTCGTCTTTTGTCTAGTTTTGACATGATAATATCCTGGGTCTGCTTTGCCGTTGTCTGAGCTGAGAAGTTGATGAGGAGAGGCTTGTACTTCTCCTTGGAAAGATTGTTTAACAAGAAGTTCTGAAACAAAAATAAAAAAAAACACATAAGAAACCAGTTGGACCAGTTGGACAGAACGTCAAAATGAGCTCCGAGATAAAAACACATAAGATAAAAAATGACGAAGTACCGTGATATAGACAGATTTCCCAGTGCCAGTAGGCCCAACAAAAAGACAAGGTTTCTGATGCGTGACAAGTTGGTTCATAAGAAATGTGTATCTGACAGTATCCACAGTTGGTACTATGATCTCATTGAACATCATTTCCTAAAGGCGGATGGGTAAAACAGGATAACTATTTAAAATAATTACAACAACATGATTTAATCTCGAACAGTCTGTGTCAGTGTAGGGTAGAGCCAACAATAAGAAAGCTTTGCATTGATAGGGATACAACTAAAAGGTTAGTAACCTCCCGACGTCGAAGATCTTGTATTTTTCAGGAAGTTGTCACAGCTTTCTAACAAGATGATTTACCTTTGGGATTGGAGGCGCATCTTTGATTTCGTCTGTCCATAACTCCCATTTACCCATGCCCTAAGTCATAAATAAACAAACAAAGACACTCTTATTGTTTGTTAAACAGTACATAACACAGTATGGCGGTTAAAACATTCGGGGTTGGAATTTCGGTTGCCAACACGTTCCAATAATTCTGTTGCAGGAAATTTCAGGATATTTACCTCCTTGATAAAACGATAGTCATAGACAGTTCCTTTATGAGGGAAAGGACACAGAAAAGGTCGTGGAGGTGGATCAACAATCGTGATTATGTGATATTTTCCTTTTGTCTCCAGCGATAGGGCACCCTATATATAACAAAAGAATGTTTGCCTAACGTTAATAAACGGGGATTAAAGCTTCTTTGAATAGTTGGCCAGTGTTCATAGCTGATTGCAAACGAAAGTATAGGGCTGGAATGAAACATTAAACTTACATCGATGATCTCACGGAACACGGCATCAAACGCCTTTCGTCCATCAGCAGGAACAGTCGCACCCAAAGACCACACGGCAGCAAAGAGATAAATACACTACAATAGTACGTAAAAAATCGCTATATACTCCACAAAATTTCCAATAAAACAGGTAACAGTATAATTAGCAATAAATCAAAGGACTTCAAGTATGGAGTTTGGGACTTTCAGGGGACGCGTGTCTCCAATAAAATATGTTTTATAACAGTTTTATAACAGAGTTAATGCCCATTTACACTGAGTATAAATTACACACTACACAACGTTTGCCCAAAACTGTCGCATGCAACCTGCTTACAACTTGAGTTGTACTGTGTAAATCAAACACACAACTCACCTATGACAACGTAGGCGTCAATATTTTATTGAGTCAATGAATAAAACTAACCTCAAGCCAAGCGGTAACCTCGCGTTCGTTTAGTTTTTTAAATTCTTCTTCATCTTGAAATTCATCCATCAAAGTCTCCATTAAGCTCATGTGAGAGTAGACCAGATTCGCGTCGTTTGTTGGAGATAATTCCTGTAAAATATCGCAAATACTTCAGATACAGTAGAGCAAGATTATAGCAAGACGCATCGGCCTCCACGGGTCGTTTACCTTGAATCCGCCCTTCCTTATGAACTGTAGCAAGGCAGTCTCCATTCTGTCAAACAGATCTCGTATCAGTTCCTTGTTATCTTCTTTCAACGTCTTGGGCAAGGTGTTTAACCACGACAGCAACAGAGGTCGCCAGCCTAACATCTCTGGCTCCATGTAAATCATACCACAACGACTTACCTACACAAGGAAGATGAGAGAATTTTAGTACATCTCACAGATGAATCTAATGATCCAGCTTGGTCTGGTACGG